TTTCTTCATGAATAAAAATATACAAATATGAACATATTTCCAATATACAATTAATACAATTGGCTGTGACTATGGTGTGAACATCGTCTTATATGGACTGAATCAAATCTCAGCAAATGTTAGAAATATTTGGCTCCTACCAGCTGCTTGGAGGATATGCGTCCAATATAATTAAAAACATTTTACCCCTTTAATTTTAATAGGGTTTAGGGTTTAGACAATGGTATTAAGCACCAAGTAAAGCCCCAATATCTTTGCAACCTATAGAAAAGCTAGTATGCATGTCTAATAACGTCCTGCTGTATGTTATGTTGTTAGTGCAGCAAAGGCATTTAATTAGGCTGTGTTTGGTTGCTAGTGCAATTTATTTGCACTAATGTAAAACTATGGGAATGCAATTGATTTGGCTGCAAGTTTTGATTTATTTTTATTTCAAATTTTACCTTACTTTATTTAATTTCATTAAAAATGAAACAAAATAAGACTTAAAACAGAATAAAGTAAAATCCAAAACAAAATTAAATCAAAATTTGCATTTTTTCATTTCCACTCATACATTTATTTGTAGTAGTACAAATTAATTGCACTAGCAACCAAACACAGCATTAGCTTAATTTGAGACACTGAAACTGTTCTGTAAAAATCACTGAAACTATTGGCAGCTATAGAAGGATTGCTGCATATATAGTGGTGACCAACCGACTTCTTCAAACTTCAAAGGTTGGTTGATGATCGTTCACGTCCCAAATGGCGTTGCCTTCTTAAGAGCTTTTCATAATATCACTATCTGTAGCTTATCAAGAGATGTTGGGAGCGCGTCAAATTGCTTGGGAATAGGTACAAGTAGAACTCAAGTTAGATAACAGATGGAGGTACAGATCGAGGGAATGATGATCCAGTTGAACTTATTAAATACGAAAAGGGAAATGCATCCAATTAGAGAACCCAATGTGGGAAGAGACAGAGACATCAAAATGACATTAATGACTGGGCCATTTGCCAATGAAACTACTCTTTTGGAAAAAGTGCAAATACAAATATGTTTGGCTCCATTTGGAACGATTACAAATACAAATATGTAGAGCACAAAACCTTTTATTTTATATTACTTTGTATGTATTTGTACAATACATATTTGTATTTGTATTTCTTCCAAACTGAGCCTTTAGTGCAAAACCTTCTCTATTGTCCATATTTGTATTCCTAAACCTTGTATTTAGGGGTGAGCAAAAAAAAATAACTGAAAAATCGAATCGATCGAAACCGAACCGAAAAATTGGTTAATCAAACTGGTCGGTTCGGTTTCAGTTTGGTGTTTTTAAAAAATTGAAGGTATCGGTTCGGTTTCGGTTAACCAATATAGAAAACCGGAGGTTAACCGAACCAACAAGTATATATATATTTCTATATATTTCTATATATATTTATGTATATTATATATATTATATATATTTATATTTTTTATATATTATAAATTAATAAATATTTATAACATATTATATATTATTTAAAATATAATATTTTATATATTTATAATTTTTTATTATATATTTTTCAAATATATTGTAAAAACTAAAAAATCGACGAACTGAACTGACGATTAACCGAACTAGTTAACTGGTTAACCAACTGGCTTCGGTTCAATTCTGGTTACCAGTTTTCCGAAAACCAATAGTACCGGTTTGGTTCCAAAAAATGCCCCATGATTCGGTTAACTGTGAGCACCCCTACTTGTATTTGCACTGAACATTTTTGTACTTACACTCTTATAGTCTTATCAACTTTATTTGCACTAGTGTAAATGCATGGAAGTGCGGATAAAGCTGGGCGTAAACTTTGATTTACTTTTGCTTCATATTTGACTTTGTCTTATTTGTTTGTGAGAAGTAAAATAGGAGTTGAATTCCACTTTAAGGCTAAGTTTGGGAGTGCCCAAAAATAAGTGCTTATTCAAATAAACACTTATTTTGGGCCGGGACCACACCAATAAGCACTTATTTGCATTTGGGAAATAAGCCCAAAATAAGTGTTTATTTGAGAAGCCCAAAATTTTAGGCTTATTTTAAGTGCTTATTCAACAATAAATGCTTATTTCCTTTCTAGCTTATCTTGGTCGGCCCGCTATGTCATTTTCAAAATGCCTATACTATCCCTGTTTAAAATAAGTGCTTTTGCACCAAATATTCATAAGATAAGCACTTATTTTTCAAATAAATACTGTCAAACTTAGCCTAAATGAAAGAGAATGGAGGTATTAGGAGTAGAGTTTGTTTAGGAGTGAGGTAGGGTGCAAGATGATGTCGTCACCGCTTTATATGAGAAAGAATTGAGTTAGGAGGAAGGTGGAGCAAACTTTGCATAAATTCTTAGGATGCAAAGTTGACACTGCCAGAAGTGAATTCAAAAGAAACAAAAAATATACAAATTTTGAATCATATAGGAATGCAAATCATAAATACAAACAAATGAATGCAAAACTGAACCAAATGCATAATTTTATCTGGTTCAGATTTGCATTGCAAACAAATAGAGCCTAAAAAGCAAATTAACCGAATAACAATAACAATTTCTCCTCTCAATCTACAAGCTAGAACGAGGGGTTCCTCATAAATAAGTCGAAAAACCGAACAAAAAAAAAACGCTGGTTAACCAAATGCATAATTTTATGAGGAACGAGGGGTTCCTCATAAATAATATTATATTATTTAAAATATAATATTACAGTATAGTATTTATATCATATATTTATATATAATATATATTATAAATATAGAAAAGCCGAATAACTGAACCAATCAACCAGTTAGCAATAACAATTTCTCTGAATCTATAAGCTAAAACGTTTTCATCAAACCCATTGTAACACTTTCTGATGACACTTACTTTGAAGACCCTATTTTGTCCAAACTATTTAGAGCTGTCAATGATCAGGTCTTCCCCACAGAATCGAACAAAACTGAACCAATTATGTTGGTTCTGGTTTTGTAATTTATATCCCGATTAATAATTGAGTTGAGACCGTTTTTGATGGAGGCCCATCCCAAGGCCCGTCTCACTCCTAGGGGCGGCAGCTCCTAGGATAAGGCCAAGAGTCCAAGATAAGCCAAGAAAGGATAATTCAAGATCCATCAAGACTCTTCCAAGACTCCAAGACTTGTCAAGAATCCAAGCTTATCAAGACTCTTCCAAGATTAGCAAGAATTCAAGACTTCAATCAAGATCCAA